AAAAAAATAGTAATCAAAATTATTCATTAATCCAACAAAATTAATCAAAATTTAAAAACACCGATTTTGTTTTATCTCTTCATGTTGCTTCTGGTGACATGGGAATCAAAGAAGGATGGTGGTATGTTGTTGCCACAGTGAATTAGAGAGTCAAAGTTCATTGCCCGAAATTTTCTTCATCCTCTGCCCTTCTCCTCCATTAAGGTTAGTAGGTTAGAAGTTGATTTGAAATGTCAAATCCATCTAAGAACTTAAACTGCAACCGAAATCATATCCTTTATAAACAAAGAGATTGAACATTTCCAAAAAACCCAATTCGATGAACAAATAACTTTGATTGAATTTACAAAAGTTGAAGAGAACGAAAACTGAAAAGATGAATCACTAACCCGATGAACAAATCTTTTACTAATTTCTGTTCACACCAATGAACTTTGACTAACCCGATGAACAAATCTTTAGAATTTGTTCCGAAAGCTCCAATCTTTTACTAATTTCTATCACTGAGTTTGTCGATTTTTTTCTATTTGGAATGAACTAAAACGACACAGTGAACTTTTGAAAACCAAAATTAGCCTCATTCCGATTATTCATCTCTAAATACTGGTAGTATGCAGGTGGTTAGTGTTGAACCTCCTAACTCAGATCGTGTTAATCTATGGGGGACAAAACTGCCCACTATAGCTTAGCAGTTTGAGAGGCTTAAGCACGTCTACTTGTTTTGCTTTTTTTTTTTTTTTTTTTTTTTTTCAATTTTCCGTTTTCTTTTCCAATACTTTTTGGGTTTTGTTACTTATTTATATTTTCTTTCTCTTGTAGCCTTCTTTTATACTTCTTTTTTTTACATATATGGTGAAGATAATTTTTTTTTTTTTAATTTGTGTTTTTAAACTGCCCACTACTACTTAGCAGTTTGTGAGGGTTAACTGTTAAGCACGTCCATTTATAAATGTTTTTTTAAATTTATTTTCTGTTTAGTAATGGTTTTTTACGAATTTGTCATCATTTTAAAAAAATTGTGGTTTTTTATTGTGAAGGAAACAAAAGGAAATATTGGGTTTATCGAATGCTTCACCAAACTGGGACTCTCACTTGATATATATATATATATGTGACATCCCGTCCCGAAATTATCGAAATGCATAGGTGAAATTACCATTTTACCCCTAGTTTGTTTTGTTATGTTGTTTGGTTGTTTGTGTGGTGTTGACAAGTGGAGGGCCACACACACACACACACAGTCTCACTCTCCCTCTCCCTCTGTCATTTCTCTGTCTCTCTCTCTCTCTTTCTCTCTCTCTCTCTCTCTCTCTTCCCCCCCCCCCCCCGAGTTCCTTTTCTTCTCCCCTTACCTTTGAACTTGTACGGACACACACACAACTACCCCTTTTCACCACAGATCGAAGGAACTAATGGCTTAGTTGAGATCGTGAGGCTGTGGAGAGCAAGATCATACCAAAATCAGGTAAGAATTTCGACGTTTTCACGTCGATATCGCCATGTCCGTTTTAGTTACTGTTCATGCAAGATTAATTTAGTTAGTTTTTGGACATTTGAAGCTTATAGTTGTGTTTGTGAGGTTCCCAGGAGCTTGGGAGTATATCGTTGAACGAGTTTGGACGCAGGAATAACCTGGTTCGAGCTTGGCCGGTTATGGCGATTTTGGACAGGTATAATCTTGAAATTTTAGGCCTTAAAACTTGTTGGAACATGTTCTACTAGCTCTAAGGTTGATTTTGGTGCAAGAAACGTGAAAAAAGGTGGAAAAACGAGCGAGAAATCGCGATTTGCAGGTTTTCCGGCGACGGCGCCGGCGACGGAGACTGATCGGAGAAGGAGACGAAATATTCCGTCAGAGTTGACGGAATATTCCTGATGCCGTTAACGGAATCTGTCAACTTTGACGGAATATTCCTAACGGCGTCAGTTGACGCCGTCAGTGTGCACGGCACGTGGCCGCGCGTGGGGGCGCGTAGGTCCGTGCCTATTTTGGCGCGTGAGGGCGCGTGAGAGGTCCAAAAATTATTTTAAAAATATGGTTGTGATCCTGAGGTTGTGTAGAGCACGTTGGTATATTCATTTGTCCATTTTGAGCAATGTATAAGAAGTTATTTTGAACGGATGGTTATGTGTTTTAAAGTTAACGTTTTTATAGTTAATTCGCATATAGGTGACACATATCCGGAGGACGAGCGTGCTCACGCGAGGCAGGGGGGCTACGACCCTTCCACATACCAGTGAGTGGGCTTTTGGTTTTCCGTATTTACCTATATACATTTATATTCCCAGAAATAGTTTAAAAGGGTTATTCGTTTTATGCCATGCACCATATCCTTATTGTTTATGCATTATCATATGCATTAGTAGTGGCATACATTTACATATTTATATTTGGTGCTGTGGAGGCGCAGGTAAGTGCCAGGTAAGCGTTATTTAACATTTGCATTAAATGGTGATTTGAGAGGCTTAGAGAGCTCATAACCTGCACCCCCGGTGTTAGTGCTCCCGCCCAGAGTAGGGCACAGTCCTTCACGTGTCGTTCACCTCCCGCACCATACGCTCAGCTTGGATCCAAGTTAGGTGCACAGTCCTGTCGTACAGACCACTTTAGGTGGTTCCGACTCGTAGGTGACTCGCGATTATTCGCACAGCCTTCACGTGATCGTAGCACTAGAGCATTTATATGTATTACACCCAGGCCTGTCGTACAGACCACTATAGGTGGTTCCGACTCGTGGGCAGGTTTAATGATTGAGATTGAGATTTGAGCTCTAGATTCAGCTGTACAGGTCACTTAGGGGACTCCGGCTGCCAGATGTTATGCTATTGATGTGATTTATACCTGAGCACTTGCATTTCATTCTGAGGTTCCGATATGGCATATGTGTGAGCATCATTGGCATATTTATACATACGTATATATATTTATTTCTGGGAAGTATACAGGTTTGACGGCGAGGGGTTAGACTGTATTTTACTAATGGTTTTCAAAGAGCTTTATTTTTGCCCACTCACGCTTTTGTTTTGCGCCCCTCCAGGTTCTAGTAGCTTAGCGGGTTCGGTGGTTTTCCCAGAGGACGTCCCGGCATTTCTGACAGACACTCACCGATGTAGGGTCACCTTCGTGTGCACTATTGTTGTATCTTTTCCTTTGGACTGCTGTAGACTTTAGGCTCTGAATTCAGCATCTCACCTACGCTAGCACTTATCTTATCACTTTATGTATGCTAGTTTTTAAATTATTCGTACTTTTATATTACTTCCTTTAGCTTCTGCATTGTGCACATGGCTACGTCACTTCCACGTGACGGCCAGCATACCCTGATCTCGGTTGGGGTGTGTCATATATATATATATATAGATAAAATGGGCAAATAAAAAACATGTGACACCAAAATTACGGGAAAATATTTAATCAAATTTAAAAAGTAAATAGATGTTTAGTCTAAAAAATCAAAAAAATCAAATGCCTATATCAAAACGTCTCATTAACTAAACCCACTCCCTCTCTTGATTTCAAACCATTTTTTTTTTTATTCATTGAAAAAGGAGGCAAAGTTCTAATAATATTTACATTTCGACCAAAAAAAGTAAATAAAAATAGTGTTGTCGCGATCCTTGTCCTCAGAAAAAGACATGAATAAAGTTTCGTGTTAGAGAAATGACACGGGGGACTCGCTAAACACGTACGAATTAGCATAAAAAAGTAATTGCCAGAAGTGTATACCCATAATTATCTTCCTTCTTCTGCAACCCATCAAATTACCCAGAAAAGCAAAGATTTCTCATGTACCGAAGTATTAATCCATCAAATTTTCAGAAAACCAAAAATATAATCTTTATTGCTTGCAGTGCTTACAACCAAGAATAGGAAAGAAAAAAAAAAGACGAAAATGAATCTAGGAAAAATTTCAAGGACAAACTCTATGGATGAAGAATTTGAAAATGGATAAGGAGGAAGAAGAAAATCGTTTCAATAGGCATATCATAGGGCCTGCTTCATTTTTCCTTCGATCACTTCACCGGTGCCCGATCCGATCTTCACCCACCATCATCGTCGGTGGCAGCAAGTCGAAGACCGGGAGGGTTACGAGGTCCGCGCTAAGCCTTCCTTCATCCCTAAACTTCTGCTGAGGATAATTTGGTCGTGATGACAAGCTTGCAAAGATTGTTGTTGGGTATCTGAGTTTTCTGGGAGGGGAGCAACAAAGAGACGACCAGGACGATAAGGAAAAGAAGGAAGAGGTAGCGCGTACGACATGGTCAACACCTAAAATGCCACCTTTATTTTTTTAATTTTTTTTATTACGTCAATCGGGCCCCCTAAATCTGGATCATCCCCATCTTCTATTAAGCGCCCCCACCACTAAAGCGTCAGCCCCCCACCCCTTTTTATAAGGGATTTGGATCCTCTCCTGAGCTAATGGAGAGGATCTTTCTAACTCATTATCGTAAATCGTTGGATTTTTATTCAACGGTTACAATTATTATCACTTTAAAGGTATCCCTCTATTTGCAGTTGTTGAATAAAAATCTAATGATCCATGATAATGGATCAGGAGGATCCTCTCCATTAGCTAAGGAGAGGATCCAAATCCTTTATAAGGGCCCCCATCACTAAAGCGTCGGCCCCCTCCCCCAGCAATTTCAACGCGAATAACTAAAGCGCCCTTTTTCTTATTCTCCCCCTTTCCCCTCTTTTTTTAAAGGCCCCCACCACCATTAAAGCGTTGGCCCCCTCTCCCCCAGCAATTTCAACGCGAAATGAAGCGCCCTTTTTTTTATTCTCTCCCTTTCCCCTCTTTTTTTAAGGGCACCGCTCTCCCTCCTATTTATTTAATTTTATTCTCTTCCCTTCCCCTCTTTCTTTTAAGGGCACCCCCCCCCCCCCCCCATTTTTCAATTTTATTTTGTCTCCCCTCTTTTTTTAACGGCACCCCTCCCCCCCCCCCCCAAATAATAAGTCGCTATCACCCCTCCACCCTGTAGCGCTATCACCAAATGGGCCCCCCCCGGCATTTTCACTATTTCCGTATGCTCTCCCATCTTCTCCAGCCTCTTCCAACCCCAATTTCACTATTCCGTATCGTCTCCCTTCTTCTCCAGCCCCTTCCAACCCCCCTCTTCTCCCTTCTTCTCCAAAGCAAGGACGTCGTCTCGCGTCATCTCGTCTCCTCCCCATCTTCATCTGAGAGGACGCCGACGGCTTCTCTTTGCTAGAGTAGGCGGAATAGGTCATCGTGGATCTGATTTATGATGACTTTTGAAAGAGCCTAGCGAATCTGGATCTGCCTCCCGCCTGAAAACCCTAGCGAAATTTCGTCGACCGTGTCGGGGTGTCCAAATCCGTGTCTTGACCGTGCGTTGGCCGTGCAACCAAGGTGGTAATGTTGTTGTTAATAGCTGTGAGGATGCTAGGCGGTCCAATCGCTCATCCGTCCACGAATACCGTCCTACGAATACTGTCCTCTAGCTTCTGTTATGAGTGAATCTCTAAATAGCTGTGAGGATGCACGTTGATACACAGATTCATCCAGCGCCGCCGTAAGTGTTGACAAACTCTGGCTAATTCTTGTATTGCTTTTATGTTTGAATAGTGTCCACGCTTGCATGTAGTGCGTGTTGGATGCAGCTATGTGTGGTACTAGGTATATTTTAAGGGAAGTTTTACGTTGAGCAATATTCTCTCAATACTTCATATGTTCAAGCGAAATAAGGGAAAAAAAAAATGAAATGAAAAACCAGATGGGTGTTTTTAAAGAATCTCTTTTTTTGTGAGAGGTATTGTTGCTAACTTATACCAGACTTAACCAGGTCTACTACCCAAATGCTCTGTATTTGGGTCATTCCCTACCAAAATTATTTTAACATCTATTGATGTGTTCTAATTTTGAGTACTATTATCGCTGTAGGCATCATCTGGAGTGAATTTTCTGGTCTGTCTACTGATGATATTGCTTGATGCATTGCTCTACTGTTTAATCGGTCTTTATCTGGACAAGGTACATATTTTTAGGGAAGCCTTTAAAGGAAGGGATCCTCATTTTTTTTTTTTTTATAACCTTTGACATGAAACAACAAGAGCTTGACCGTAGGTAGGTCAGTTTTTATTTGAATGTTTGTTAATTTCTCTTTTACAAATTTATTCTTTTCATTATGATTTTCGTCTCCTTGTTGATCATCTAAATAAGAAATCTGCATAAGGTTTATGCTAGTAAAAAGGGGAATGCTGTGCTGTTAACTCATTAGAGCTCACACGTCTATTTTTCTAATGCTTTAGTACAACTGCAGCTCCAGCAAGTACTGGATTCGTTTATTATTTTTGCGGCCCAACAATCTGACACCAAAGATTTAGAATTTCCTTCATCGGCATCGCTGTCCTCTGGTGAACCTTCCTTTCTCAGCTTTCCATGGATGCTTTACGGCCCATCAAACATTCAAATAGTCCCATTTCCAAGTCATGAATACACTGATGATGAGTTCCAGTCCACCATAAAAACTTTGATGGGTGTATTTTATGCATACCTTAAGTTTTGTATATCTACATTGCTGTTATAATTTTGTATATCTGTTAGTTTAGATGTTTTGACAAGCTCTATTTGGTTGATCTGGAACTTGGATGAGCAGGTATCTTCTGGGATTCCTCTACCCAATTTCTCGGTTGATCAGCTATTCGGTGTTTGAGAAGGTTTGGTAACTGTTATGATAACTCTAATTGGAATAAAGTTGATGATTTACCTTAGTCACCATATTGTTTCGTTTACTTATTTATTCTATCTTTGTTAATGTTTTGGGCCAAAGTGTCATTCTTCATCCTTTATGTTTATTTGTATGTTTTGGATCAAAATCTTTTGGACTGCAACCCCTTTTTCTTTGTAATGTTTCAGGAACAAAAGATAATAGAAGGTCTTTATATGATGGGTCTGCAAGATGGGGTATTCCATCTCTCATGGTTCCATACGTCGTGGGTGCAACATCAAAAAATTCGCTCATACCAAGTTAACCATATTATGTTAACTGTTCGTATTTCTTTCATTCCATCGGTATGCTCCCAGGTACCTGTAATTGTGATCCGTTTGCCAGAACTAAGGGGTCTTTCTGTGGAAACCTTCACGAACAATCGTCGTTTTTTGATGGTTTTTCCGCTTCTCACAGCTGCTCTTCCCACACCCCCAGATATCTGGTGTCAAACAGTTGCCCGTTTCCTTATTTCTTCGATAATAGAGTTGGCTATCTTTGTGGCGTCTATTGTACAAGTTCGTGAAGAAGGCTGGACGAGTGGAATGAGGGAAAGCGGCTCGATCGACAAAAAAGAAAAGTAGCCCAACCCTAGAACCTGGCAAAATAACTATCAATGAATTCCCGAGCAATTCTCAACCAACATATGCGATTTATTCCCGTAAAGATTCTAACACACAGAAGACTCGTTACCTTTGGAGCGGGATGAGTTATACATCCGGCGAGCGCCGGTGAAGAACGCAAGCTAAGCTGGAGCTCGGGTTTATATTCCATCAAGAGAAAGGGGGCAGACTGGTAAGAAGTCCCATTTGCTTAATTTCTCTTTTCTCAAATTTGAGTTGCATTTGAGTCCATTAGTTGTTAATTTTCAACCTATTATGTTCAATGATGTTTTAGATGGTAAAGAAAAAGGATTGAATGTAGTGTAGACTCCTTTTGAATTCAAACTTTTCTTATATGATCAGGTCCTTCTGAGGGAGAATGGAATTAGATATCCATGGAACTTCATTAAGGAACTTCATGTTCACAATTCTGGTCTAGAAGTTTAGCCATGACAAGGATTGCAAGAAGGCGAGTTTTTTGGTGTAGATAATGCCAGAGCATCTTTGGCAGCGATAACCTTTGAAATGAAACAAGAGCTTGACTGTAGGTAGGTCTGTTTAATTTGAATGTTTGTGAATTTCTCTTTTAACAAATTCATTCATTCTTTTCATTACGATTTTTGTCTACTTGTAGATGCATCCAAATAAGAAATCTGCGTAAGGTTTATGCCGGTAAAAAGGGGAAATGCTGTGCTGTTTACTCATTAGAGCTCACCGTGTATGAAAACCGGATTCAATCTGGGTTCTTCAAATTCAAGCCCCCCCTCCCCCCCAAATTTGAGCAGTTTGTGTTACCCGGTTAGTCATTTTCATGCTCACTATTTAATTGCGGACATTACTCTAAAGTTTTCAGTCGGTATCATAATTTCTGGTAATTTCATGCTCATTGAACGCATCAACTTATATGTGTGTGTGTGTGTGTGTGTGACTGCTTGAATCAGGACTTATCAAATTAAGGCGGCTGCAAGGAAATTTGAGCCTTGGCCTGTAGAGATACAATTTTGCAAGGAAGCTAGGTACCCTCTAGACTTATTGGATGTGAAGATTTGTACGATTGAATTTGTGATTAATGTACTTGGATTTTATTAAATTTTCATGATTTTATAGAGTTTTTCATTTAAATTTGTGGGTTTTAGTTTAAATGGTGGGTTTTGGAGAATTCTTCATTAAATTTCTGGGTTCTTTTCGGATATGATAATAGATGGGCACGCTTATATGTTTTCCAATGTTCTCTTATCAACTCTTAATGTTGAAACAGTCAGCCATTAATGTTGGATTAATCAAAGTTGGGCATGAGTTCATATGTTTTTCAATGTTTTTATAGAAACAACTAATTTTCACTTAGTTTTGAGTAGAATAATGATGTTTTAAGTAGAATAGTGGGCGATTCATTTGTGATCGTATGAAAATAAATTTTGAATACTACACTACCATTCCGCTTAAAGCGCCCTAATACATGCATAATCTGAATGAATATGTAAAGGCTAGTTGAGAAACTAACAGTATACAAAATTTGAATGATTCTATTTGTTTTCATCTTTTTCTGGATTTGTCTGCTATTGGCTATTATGATTTTGTCTGGCTATTGGACTCTCTGAAAATGTGCTTTGGCTTTTTTAATTCAAAAAACTAAAACTGATTTCATTTGTTGACGATTTGTTATGAGGTATTGATAACATGGAGAAATTGACACTGATTCTATTATTATCTGTACATCAGTTTGTAATATCTAATCTTAATATATATATATATATATATATTTTTTTTTTTTTTTTTAGCTAGTTAGACTGAAGAAGGAGGCACTCGAATTACTCTTGCTCCAATCCATTTCATCAATTTATCAAGCTTTAGTTGAAGCTCCTGGGAAGCATATGCATTATATTGCCAACCTTGAAAAGCCTTGGAAAATAATGTCAGTTGTTGCTTCTCCAACTCTTTTTCCTAATTTAATTTTTTTAAGCTTGAATTCCTTTTTCTTATATGTAGTTTTGATTTTTTTGGGAGTTAGTAGCTTTGGTTTCGACGTTGTTTTGTTTGTGATAGATCTCAGTATATTGCAAATATTTTGCAAGTTGATGTGTTAAAGATTTTGCATTAACTTATTTTTTTCATTTGCCTGTGTTCTAATCCAAAAGGTTTAAAGTTTGGTTACAATAAAAGAAGTAATAAAAATTATTACTATGACACAATAACATTGTGAGAGGTCTTTTATTAATCTCTCTATCAATGACAGTAGCAAATATATCATAGATGAGATTAATATTTAAAGCCATGTTTATTAGGGTGTTGGTATTCGCCCGGAGGGGTTGTTTACCTTGGGGGTTGCAACGAATGTGGAGATTCGTTAGACCAATGATCAATTGATAGAAAATATCATTAAGCCAAGCACAAATGAATATTAAATCTTAACATTGGGAGAATACTAGAAGTCTTTTTTTTTAGTTTTATTTTTATTTTTTATTTGCCAATATTAGGAGTCTCAAAACCAAGTAGTGTTATATTTGAATGAATTTTTATTTGATCCATTGCAAGTAAAATCATAATTTTTTGGCAAGTACACGCACTCACACTCCTAAATACTCATAGCACAAACAAATGGTGGACTCAGATAAACACCCACAAATACATATACTACACACAGATACTATAATGGTTTCTTCTCAGAATGCTTATCAAGACGTTTGACTCTGTTGGTTCTAATTTTGAAGTTAGAAAAACTCATGTGTTGCTTCTACAGGAGACTAGAACATTGATGGAAGCAGCCTTGGCAAATTTGCAACTTAAGGAAAATAGTTTGAAGACTTAAAGGAGTTGTAACTTATAAAGAATTTGGTTCAAATGCTCTCTTCGAGCTCCCCAACATGCAAGGTATCTGTAAAATCAGGGGATATAGTCAATTAATTTAATTTTTTATATATATCTCAAGCTTCTGATCATTTTCCTGCGTCATTGCTTGGTTTTGTTCATTGAAATTTTGAGGGGTGAATTTTGACCTTTTGATCCCATTTGTGATGATCAAGTGCATAATTGTCTTTGATCTATGTGGGAACCAAGGAACTCACTTCCCTTTCATGCTTTGAATTCACTCTCAGTCTGGAGATTATATAATCATTTGGGCATGGTTGATTTATCTTTCCCCTCTTCAGTCTCTAGGGTATAGCTTCTGTCTGGTTATATGGGATTAGATTTGTGTCATTAATGTCAAATATTTTGAGTTAAACATGATTATATTCCTTGTTGTAAGCTATAGTCTTTCTTCCTTCATTTCTGAAAAAGAGGTTAATTTTTGCATTTTGTAGACGCAAAGGGGTTTTCATTGGCATGTCTAGTGTGATGAAATCATGTTTTTTGGATTATGGTGCTTATTCTGATTCTTATGTGGAACTATAGGTGATATAAAATTATAGGCTTGGGGTAGTACGTTATGTAGTCTTTTCCTTCAAAGATAGTTGAGTGCCGCATAATAGATGTATCCCTTGGTTTGTGATTTTGTTGCTCGATTACTGAGGTTTATATGTTGGTGCCCTCTGCTTGGTTCTTTAGTCAATTTTTGCCAAGATTTTAGAAACATTTCTTTATCTTTTGAAGTTTTGAAGTATTATTCAACATATGATTGTTAATTTTATTTGTTATTTTGTTTGTTGGGGTTTCTTGCAGCCAGACCAATGATATATTTCGGATGAACAAAGGCTGTTGAAACTATAAATTCATCTCTTAGATGTGGCATAGAAGTCCCGGAAATGCTCTGTGAGGTATGAGAAGAATCAGTTAGGCTGCATGTGGGGATTTGATCTGATTTCTGATAAGAGGCATGGAAGTAAGCAAGTTGTTGGTAAGAAATCTAAACAATTGCAGTTGGAGGAAACTATCTAATAAAATGGGTAGTTAATAAAGTTCTTTGTATTTCTATTTTCATATAAACAATACAAATTCTTTGTTCCTCATGTTTTGTAAATTTTTCAGTTTATGAAATGGGATAATTAAATTTGTTGTTTTGGACATCAAGAAGTCGATACTTATTCAAATACCCTCACACCCAGAACTTCAGTGATTCTCTAGAGTGCGCGTATAATTTTGGAACAAAATGCTAGAGTTCAAAATATTTAGTGTTGTAAAACCAATTTGCTTTCAAAGGATCGAGTGGGCATCCATCAACGCAGTGTGTTTATAATCTATTTGACATTCCCGCGGCAACGCGCGGGCAACAGTTCTAGTTCTAAGCTGAAGCTGTGGAACATATCAAATGAAACTTATAAATAGTCATTTCATAACTGTCATTGAATAGAAAATGAAAACAGATAAATGGAGTTTTATTGTCCTTGATGCATCATTTTGTTTGTATTGATTTCAGATTTTGTAACTGAAAGGACACAGTGGAGCTGGTAAAAGCACAACGATATCAATGCTTGTTGGCTGCCTTTGCCCTACTTCAGGTGATGCTTTGGTTTTTGGGAAGAATATTGTTATAGAAATGGTAATATCTCTTTTACAAGCATCACTCAAGCATTAAGCAGTGCTAAAATAAGGTAATAAAGTTTGGGTGTGTCCTCATTCTTACTCAACCCTGACTGACTCTCATACAACATGATTGACGAACATTACTGTCTCTGTGACAAGAATATGACATGAGAAGCTGGCCAATCATTAGCCAACAAATTGTAGGGTTCAGGCCAGAAGGAGGCTGTTGAGTTTTGAAGTGTTGGCACATTAAATGTCCACTTTGGAGAAGGACTCTGGACGCCCACTTTTTATTTTAAAAAAGAGGACGGCATTGGCAGGGCCTACCCTGCAATATGGTAAATGATGTGACCATCCATTTTCAAGTCTTTTACAACAATCCCCTTAGAGGGACAAGCCAAACTTGAAATCTTTTTAACTATTTGATTATTGCCATAATCATTTCACAATTGGAAGGACCGTTCTTTATTTTATTTGATCCAATAATTGATTAAGTAGTTTCCAGTCTAGCTAATCGTTTGCAA